TACAACTCCATCAAAGACCACAGAAGGATAGTGTATAAACTCTAGAATTGACAGAGACATCTTGCTACCTGGACAGTCATCCAAAGTTCTTCTGTAAATTGGCACATCCAACTTTGGCCCATAAGCCATAATGTGTCTGGCAGACACCTCAGCAAAGCAGAAAACTTTAAACTGTCTACCTGTATTGGCAGTTTGTCAGTCACTTTTCTCTGTGTCCTGTAGAACGTCTGGCAGACTCTTCCATGAAGCAGGAACCCTGCAGCAATATCCATCTTGTTTCAGCAGTCACTTGCATGTGGGTCCTGCATGTCCATTTTATACAGCATGAAGTCAAACAGTCCAGACAAGAGCAGTTTCTTGCCCAAATGGCTAATCTTTCCATGTTGGAAACAAACCCCATAATGGGTTTCTTCGATGCCCATCTTCCTTTCTGACACAGGTGGTATTGTCAGGAGCAGTATGTCTCACTGTCAAGAAAAACCCTAAACCATTTTAAATGCCATATTTTGTAGTTCTTTGAAAGGTTTGAAGAATATCTATCCACCTCAAATACATCTCTGTATATCTAGAAAACCTAACTATAAGTTTTGACTATTATAGGTAACTATCTATAATTTGTACTTCATTATACATTACATTTTTAAATGAGCTATATAAACACAATACATAAACAAGAGGAGAAATATACATACCACAAATTGACCTTAAATTTGTATCAACAAATGAAAATCCATTCCAAAACAAAGTATTCATTTCTATACCACAATCCCCTTTTTACCTTTAAAAAGAGATTGGTTATGATCATCAACCATTTATAACCAACCCCATTTAAATGAAAACAAACATTTATAGACAATATTTGGGAATTTGGATGTTGTTCTTTCCAAACTGCTTCCTGCTGGTTGGGGATGCTTTAATACCATGGGAATCCTAAGACGATGAAGGAATCCTGGCTGTAGTTTACAAGGCTGCCTTGTCCCAGCTGTTTTGAATGTTGGATCATCTGGGACACTGTTTCAGGGAGTCTTGCTTGATCAAACCATGTTAGTCTGGAAGGAATCCACAGCTTTTTATTTCCTGTGGAAACAAAAATAGAAATTCTTTTTCCCAGTAACCTGTCCTTAGACATAAATTTTGAAGTAAAAGCATTTTTAAAATATACAAGTTATATTAATTCAGCAGCATTGATAATCAAGTGTGTTTTAACAATTGTTCCTTCCTTAGCAATTGAGCAATTCAAAAACAACACAATAGCATATAGTATCCAGAATCATTGTGTGTTTTTCATCTTCATGTGGCTTTTTTATTACTCTATTTCTTCTACTTCTATTTTTTTTTTTTCATTTTTTGAGACAGGGTTTCTCTGTGTGCTTTTGCCTGTCCTGAAATTCACTCTGTACACCAGACTGGCCTTGAAATCATAGACATCTGCTTGCCTCTGCCTCCCGAGTGCTGGATAAATGTGTATGCCACCACACCCAGCTTCTTTCTTAATTTCTTAAAACAAACAAACAAACACTTTATCCTGTTTCTTTTTCTCTTCCAAGCCTATGAATATTTTTAAACACACTGTAAATTGTTAGAGGGTTTTCTTTAACTGAATCTATCTTTACTGTAATTCTTTATCTTTTTCTGGCTACGAGTCTTTTATCTGCAACATTGCTAAACAACAACATTGCTAAAATGAAAGCCACAGCTGTTTTAGCTATCCAAGATGGTGGGGGTATATTTACTGCCAGCACTGAAAGCTGTGCCTACCACCTTGGTCTATGCTGCCTTCAAGCAACATGCTGCCGGCTTGGAGATGTGGTCACTGCCATTGCCAGGTGTGGTATATACCATTCAGTTGGAGCAGGGTCTCTTAAAAGAGCCATGCAGTTTTTTATGCTTATGCCAAGTCAGGAAATCTCCCTTAAAAGAGCGCTCGAGTCTCTTCTTGTCTCTAGCACAACAGAGCCTGCCCGAGAAAAATGCTGCTACCAAGAAGCCTTGTTTGTCTCTGTTCTTTTGTTTCTAAAATCCATTTTTGAGCTTTTGTCAAGTTTTAAGTGGAAGCTCTTAGTACCCACTTTGCAGGCGCCATTTTGTTACAAGCACTTTCCCACCAGCCTGATCCCAGAGCAGCATCAGCCCCAAAATAACACACAAAGACTCTATTAGTTATAAAGCTGTTGGTCATTGGCTAGAGCTATTTATCGGCTAGCTTTGCCTTAAATATTAACTCATTTCTATCCACCTAAGTGTTTCCATGTAGTCCTATCTTCCCGGAAAAAGGGTCCCGACCTCTTCTCTGATGTCTTACATCTTGACTCCTCTCTATTACCTCTCCCAGAATCCTCCTTGTGTCCTAGTCCCACCTATCTTGCCTTCCTATTTGCCAACAGAGCTTTGTTCTTATTTACAGAATGACATCTCCTATCACACAAACCCAGATATTAGCCTCAAGCTCTCAGAAGGTATTTCTCTTGGATGATGATAGAGACCATGGGCGTATTGGTCTCTTTTCACTGTTCCCATTTCCTCCATCAGTTTTGTTTTTTCCATTCAAAAACAACTTTAGGTCTGGTGAGGAAAGAGTAGAGGCAAGAAGGGGAAGTATATTTGGAGCAACACTGGAAGGGAGGTGGAGGTGGGCAAGAAGTTTGGAAGGCAGCACATGTAACATCTACTGGCAACACTGACAGAACTCATCTTCCTTCTTTCCTTCCTTCCTTCCTTCCTTCCTTCCTTCCTTCCTTCCTTCCTTCCTTCCTCCCTCCCTCCCTTCCTTTCTTTCTTTTAAACCCTGACTGTCCTAGGACTAGCTCTGTAGACCAAGCTGGCCTGGAACTCATAAAGATCCACCTGCCTCGGACTCCTGAGTGCTGGGATTAAAGGTGTGCACCACTACTGCCTGGCCAGGCTTATTTCTACCCAGAGGAAATTAAATGCCACATCTACTTAAGAAAGTTACATGTGAGATTTGACGGGTCTGAGAGATGCCACTATGCCAAGAACCCAGATTCACACCACCAGTACCCACATGATGCAGAGCTGTCCTCCACACCAATGCTGTGGCATTGAACCTCCCTAAGCATAAAATTATTTTAAAAGCAGAGCATTATTCTTCCATCCCAATTTGTGTGAAGTCTGTTCTAGAAATGCCTTATCCATGTACTTTATTAGAACCATAAGGGAATACTTCAGCTGAAACTTACTTGTTGAACATTGTGGAGTTTTTCCCCTGGAAAACAGGGCCAAGTCAAGCCATTAACATTTTTGTGTTAGTTATTTGTCTCTGTGTGTAGGAATGGGGACATGATGTGTCAGGGAGCACATATGGATCTTAAAGGACAACTTGTAGGAATCTATTATCTCCTTCTCTCATGTGGATTCCAGGGTTCCAAGTCAGATCTCAGGGTGGGGCTCAAGTGCTTTTACCCACGGAATCATTTCCCTGGTCCTGCCTACGTCATGCTATTTTTAATTTTAAAATCTTGAAACTAAACCCATACAAAACAACAAACGAAATAAAAAAAAAATCAAATCGAAACCAAACCTAAACAAAACAAAACTAGTTAAAGCCAAAGAACAATTGTTCAATACCCACCCCACCTCCAGTAAGCAGACTCCCTGAAGAAAACATGTCATCAATGGCAACACTTTAAATTTAGAAGGGTCTCCGGGAAGACTAATATAATTTTGCAGTAATTGTGTTTTATTTGAAAGGGCTTCAAAGGGACAGGGGCAATCAGCCTCCCAGTGATCGGCAGTTTACCACAAGTCTGAACCTCAGGGCCACAGTGACTCACCTTTCCGCCCTTGCAGGCGGAAACTGGAGTACAGTCTTTCCTATGCTGCCCTCTAGCCTTCGCCCATCCTGCCATCACCTAAGGTTACTTTCCATTTTACAGTTGAGGCTATGGTTTGTTTACTCTCGGTGTCTCCCTCACCAGTTAACAAAAGTCTATAAGCCAACACAGATCCAACTAAAAAAGTAACTTTCAACGACCAAGAACGTTTTCCTTTGCTACCAAGTTCTTTGATCTGGTCTCTTCCTCTTTAAAGTCAAGGGACCCGACAAGTATTTTACTAGAAATTAAAACAAAGCTTCCACCCCATCCCCCAGCAGCCCTGTCTCAGAGGATGTTAGCAGAGGTGGAAGCTCCACTAGGAGCGCAAGCCTAGAGCATCTGCCTGGCGGGAGGTGGGGGTGGGGTTGGGGGTCACTGAAACCAAGTGGTGTGTCCAAGTCCAGGACACTCGGATAGGGTGCCAAAAGGCACCCTCTGCCCTTCAGTGACCCTGGAGCCCGAAAGATTTATTACTTCCTCCTTGAGGGAGAAACCACAAGCCAGCTGGAGAGGGCGAGCACCAGGGTCCAAGCCTCAGAACTGCGTTCAGATTATACCCAGCGCTGCCTGGCGGCGCTGCTCCCGCCCTAAGAGAGGACACTCGTGCTGGCCGTTGGTGACGGACGGGGATTTCTGCCCAAACTTTTATCACCAACTCTTCTCGAAAGCGAATACTGAGTCTTGCAGCCGCTAAGAACCCAAGTCTCCGGCTGTCCAGGAGAGCTGAGAATCAGGAGCTGTCGCCGCGCTCCGGGCGGACCTAGAGCACTGGTGTGTGACTCGCGGATGGCGGCCCGAGCGGCGCCACCTTGAACCGGGTCGCATCTCCAGCCCCTAAGGAGGTGGCGGCGGGAGACGGGAGCTGATAGGAGGGAGGGTGTGGGACAGGCAGAGGAGGAGGGTAGCACGGCGAAGGGGAGGAGCCGGGGCGACAGACGGCGGCGCGCACCAACCCCGAGCGGGCTGGCAGGAGCCGCGCAGAGGCCGGCCCGAGCGCGTTGCAGGCGCCCGGCGTAGGGGGAGTCGGGTAGCAGCATCCTCCCGGGCGCCGCTTTAGTGCGGCCGCGGCGGGGGCTTCCTCTGCCTGGGGACTTCGTTGGGCAGAAGCAGCCGGTGCCGGAGCACCGTCCCTCTCTTTTGCCTGCAGCTACGTGTCCAGGCTCCTTCTGGGCCAGCTCACGGCCACGGAGCGCCGGGGCTCGCCTGAACCGCCTGTCCGGACACCCTCGGGGTGATGGAAGAAGCGGCCGCCGCTGTGGGGCCGCGCTGTACCCCAACCGCCAACGCCGCCGGAGGGATGGGAAGGTTTGTTGCGTGGAGGCCAAGAGCGAGCGATGGAGAGCCGATCAGCCTGGAGCTGGGACGTATTTAAGCGACCCGCATCGTCGCCTCCTGCCTGCTTCGTGCCCCAGAACCGGGAGAGAAGCTGCGGTCCCGAGAGACTCGAGGAGACGTCGCTGCAGCCGGGACGCGCCGCGCTCGGTGGAGCGCACAGCCGGGCTTTGGGCCCGGTGAAAGTTTCCCCTCCCGAGCTGCAGGGCGCCCGCTGCCGGGAAACTCTGCCTAGGGTTAGGGCAGCGGAGTTCCGCGGCTCCCTCGAAGGCTTGGGGACCCCCGGCCGAAGAGAACCGGACAGAAACCGAGGACAGGGCTAGCCCGACAGTCCGCCGGTCCGATATCCGGGGACGCTCTGGGGCGCACCCGCCGCTCCAGGTGAGTGGGGGAGCCCGCAGACCAGAGGGTGGGCGGTACTCAGGCGGAGGAGGCATCTGGGCGGGAGACTGGGCTCACACATTCGCTCCGCTTTCCTCTCGCAGGTTCTTCTCGGAGCCGCTGCCATGGGAGAGCCAGCCCTGGGCGCCGGGGACCAGCCGCCTCTGCCGCCGCGTCTGCCTCGGATCGGCGGCCCCAGTCCCGGCGCCCGCAGCCGGCCTGCAGCGTCCCCCTCCCGGGCTGCAGGGCCGCCTCCGCCGCGCCGCCGGCCCCGGCTGTGCCTGTGATGAGCCGCAGCTCGCCGCGAGCTCTGCCCCCGGGCGCGCTTCCCCGGCCGCTGCCGGCCGCGCCTGCAGCCGTGCAGCGGGCCCTGCTCCCGCCGTGGCCCCGGCGCGCAGGACGCCGCTGGCCTGCGTCCCCGCTCGGGATGAAGGTGTTTCGCAGGAAGGCGCTGGTGCTGTGTGCGGGCTATGCACTGCTGCTGGTGCTCACGATGCTCAACCTCCTAGACTACAAGTGGCATAAGGAGCCGCTGCAGCAGTGCAACCCCGACGGGCCTCTGGGTGCCGCGGCGGGGGCGACAGGGGGTGGCTGGGGACGGCCGGGGTCGCCTCCTGCAGCGCCACCCCGCGCTCATCCGCGCATGGACCCCCGTACCCCATACCGCCCTCCCTCAGCGGGCGTGGGGGCAGTTCCCGCAGCCGCGGCGGGGGCTGTAGGAGCTGCGGCCTCTCCGGGCAATGGGACTCGAGGCACCAGGGGTGGAGGGGACAAGCGGCAGTTGGTGTATGTGTTCACCACGTGGCGCTCCGGATCGTCCTTCTTCGGCGAGCTCTTCAACCAGAACCCTGAAGTGTTCTTTCTCTACGAACCTGTGTGGCACGTGTGGCAAAAACTGTACCCCGGGGACGCGGTTTCCCTGCAGGGGGCAGCGCGGGACATGCTGAGCGCTCTCTACCGCTGCGATCTTTCCGTTTTCCAGCTGTATAGCCCCGCCGGCAGTGGGGGGCGCAACCTCACCACTCTGGGCATCTTTGGGGCAGCCACTAACAAGGTGGTGTGCTCCTCGCCACTCTGTCCCGCCTACCGCAAGGAGGTCGTCGGGCTAGTGGACGACCGCGTGTGCAAGAAGTGCCCACCTCAACGGCTGGCACGCTTCGAGGAGGAGTGCCGCAAGTACCGCACGCTGGTTATCAAGGGCGTGCGCGTCTTCGATGTGGCTGTGTTGGCGCCGCTGCTTCGAGATCCAGCCCTGGACCTCAAGGTCATCCACTTGGTGCGTGACCCTCGTGCGGTTGCCAGCTCCCGCATCCGCTCGCGTCATGGCCTCATCCGGGAAAGCCTACAGGTAGTGCGAAGCCGGGATCCCAGAGCCCACCGCATGCCCTTCCTGGAGGCTGCTGGACACAAACTGGGTGCCAAGAAGGAGGGCATAGGTGGGCCAGCAGACTACCATGCCCTGGGCGCAATGGAGGTCATCTGCAACAGTATGGCCAAAACGCTGCAGACAGCCCTGCAGCCCCCTGACTGGCTGCAGGGACACTACCTAGTGGTGAGGTACGAAGACCTGGTGGGAGACCCGGTTAAGACCCTACGGAGGGTGTACGACTTTGTGGGGCTGCTGGTGAGTCCCGAAATGGAGCAGTTTGCCCTGAACATGACCAGTGGTTCAGGATCCTCCTCCAAGCCTTTTGTGGTGTCAGCTCGCAATGCCACTCAGGCCGCCAATGCCTGGCGGACCGCGCTCACCTTCCAGCAGATCAAACAGGTGGAGGAGTTTTGCTACCAGCCCATGGCAGTGCTGGGCTACGAGAGGGTCAATAGCCCCGAGGAGGTCAGAGACCTCAGCAAGACCCTACTTCGGAAGCCCCGGCTTTGAGAGGGGTTCCCAAGAGATCTGACGCCCACTGGAGACACCCACAAAGAGGATGGTGTTGTGTTTAAACAAACACAGCCCAGACCCAAGCTGAGGAAGCCCACATATTCAATTATAGATATATAATATAAATAACCACACAGGCACTTGCTGTCAACGTTTTGAGTCAGTGAATTTCAAAGAACAGCCTCAGCACATGCGCACACGCGTGCGTGTACACACACACACACACACACACACCTCAGAAAAAGGCAAGACTTGAAAGTTCTGACAAATTCCCGTGTCCCCCTGCCTCTTCTCCCTCTCCCCTTCTCATCCTTTTCCCCTCCTCCCTCCCATATTGAAGTGGAATGTTGATAAATCAAGTTCCAGTAACCCAAATCTTGTTTACAATTTTTTCGTGGTATCTGTGAATGTGTAAGATTAATTTGGATGTGGGGTGGGGCGGATGTAAAGGGGAAAGTGGTCCCATAGCAGAAAGCCCCCACGGGGCTGGTAAACCATGGAGGCATTCTTCAAAAGTAGACTTTTGTGCAAACAGCAAAGGTTACATGTGAGTATGAATAAAGAAGATAAATAAATAATAATTCTTTTTTTTTTTTTTTTTAATATTTGCCTCCATTGCTCTGGATTTACCAGCGATACTTGTCTTGCTTCCCTCTTCTCCCTGCATTTCCAGTCATCTTTTGGGGCACAGCTAAGCTGGGAGAAGCCTCTGCCTTCATAACAACTGGGAGTTGTTCTGTTACACGCAAACCACAGCCTGCCAGGTGCCCAGGAGTGGAAACAGTCTTCTACAGGGAAAGCCAGGCAGGGCAGAGAAGAAAACACACACCACTCCCTGTTCAGCTTTGAGTAGAGAAAAGAAGAAACGAGCCCTTGAGAGTTGAAGGCATTCGGTTTTGATTACTTCTGTATTGTGAGTTGAGACAGGGTACCTCGAAGCAGAGACTGGTGTTTTTGTTCTGAAGTTGGTTCAGGGAAAAAAAAAAAAAAAAAAAAAAAATATATATATATATATATATATATATATATATATATACATACACATATATATAAATTCTGATGACTGAGTTTCAAAAACGGAGTGAACACTATTGGTGGTGGTGGCAGCAACTTCTGTAGTTAGTGGAACGACAGACATCTGAGTGTTTGTCTTTGTCAGACTATCGGCAGGCATACTAAAGCAAAGTTCTCACTGAGGACAGGTTTTCTTTCCTCCTCATGTCCCATCCAAACTAATAATACTAAATAAAGGACAGGACTTTGGAACAGTTTGCTTGGGACTTGGGGTGTCCTGGACATAATGATGTTCCCTTTATTTCCTAAAGGCAAATTTGCAAAACAAAGTACATGCTGCAGACAGTGTAGGATTTTAGCTAAGAACTTTTAGATACTGAAAGGATTCTGAGGAAGAGGAAGTAAAAATGGATTAGTGTGTAGGATTTTGAGATTTGGTATTTTCCTGGGAGAAAACCATTCAATTTCGCAGAAGTGGTTAGACTCCTACATTTTGAACTCATATAGTACTGAAGTATTCTGTATGGTGTTGTGTTATGATAAGAAATTATGAAACCTAAGTAGAAAAACCAAGCAGTATAGTTATATATTCTATATTATATTAAATACGGTACAAGTCCAGTATTCTTACAGCTTTATTTTACAGCAATTTATTATGAGATTCCGGAAAGCCAACAAATGTGGGTTGAATGCTGAGGACTTATTTTAAAAGAAAGATAATGTGTACATTGGAAATGTTTAACATGAGGTGATTCTTGAGTTTAATTATCATTTCAATGTGAAATCCAAGACGAAGAAGCACATACTTGTTAAAAAAACGTATATTAGAATGGTTATTTCTTAATCTACTGAAACTGTTTCCCATGTCTTGTTCTTGAGCTAGAATGCTACTATAGCACTGGTCAAGATTTCCATGATATTTTTATGGTAGTGCCTTCAGCGGCAGGGTAATCTTTGTAAGATCTCTAATTTAAGCATACTTTAAAATTAAATGAACAAAATAAATATTAATGTTGGGTGACTATAGATGAAAAAGGCTTAGCAGCAAATTAAGGTAGTGTCATTAAAAAACAATGATTCTGGATAAAATAACCATTTAAAAACAAATTTCGTATGGCATTAGAATCAGCTCTCTTCAGCCACAGTGGCATGCATTTATTGTTGAGCAAAAGATTTTTAAGCAGTTGACTTCATTCTTCTCCAGTATATTCACAGACTTGGATTGCATTAGATAGAATTATGTCTTTGGATCTTGTATTTAAAACTTAGTAGATGCTATACAGAGCCTCGGAGCTTGCAGAGCATTCATGGCCTCTGCTAACAGGAAATTCTCAGCCAACACCAGCAGCTCTCCCCACCTCTGTTTGCACAGATTTTTGTCTGCATTTTTCCTGTTTTGTAGCAGCTGCATTCTCTCCACTCTGCCACTCCTGGGCTCTGCAATTTGAAAAGGTGAATTGTTACTCCTGGAGATTTGTACCTAGCTGCATTCTAGGAAAGTGAGATGGGTGTTGTTCCTACTAGAAGCTGAGATAGTCATATCAGTGACATTTAGCTGCCAGAGCTTGGAGAAGGGGAGAAGCATTTTTGGCGTTAACAAGCTCTTGTCAGCCCCTGGTGCAAGCAGACCTGTGTCATGACAAACTGCAACAGAGCTGTGACCATTTCTGAGGCAGCGTGTATGAAAGCAATCCTTTCACATTTCCTAACCTGGCAGGATGTCTATGGTGTGGGGGTGGGGTGGGGGTATTCCTCAGAGCTGTTTACCTATCAGAGAGATTTCTGTTTGTGATTTCTGCCTGGCTGGTAACACGCTTGGCTTAGCCCTTTGACTTTGGAATGTATTTGCTAATTAGAAATCTGCATTTAAAGAATGAAGTCCAGCCAGTGTATTTAGTCAACAAATGGGAGTTTGGAACAAGACAAGAAGCTGGGTGCTTGAGTTTCAGGAATCTCAGAGCCAATGAAAGGTTGCATTCACACTGACCTCCAGGGTACAGGGGCTGGAGCAAATCTGTGCCCTTCAGTATCTACCCACAATGAATGCTTGATAAGTATTTGTTAAATAAGTGGATGAAATGTGTAACTATCAAATGCTGAAAACGTTTAGAAGGAAAGAGGAGTAGATTGTGTTAACCTGTACAGAGAAAGTGCCAGGCTGCTGGGTGAGGTCATGGCTTGCAGGCTCTGTTAGATGCATGGAGCAGCAATGATGTGTCTGCAGTGTTTCCAAGGTGACCCCGCTCTTTAATTCCCACCAAGGAATTAGGAAGAACTGCAGAATTATTATTGAAAATAAGGAATTAAACTTTCAGTGTTTGTTTTCCAAACTGCATGAACACAGAAGGGCAGGGATCTGACATAACTACTGATGAGAATTGCCCAGGTGCCTGGGGGGTGGTCTGTGAAGTTTAGTTTTGAAGAAACTGTGTGATGTTTACTATTTTGAGTGCTGTGGATGCACAGACTGAAGAAATGTGGTCTAGGCTGTGGCCAGGCAGAGCAATGGCTACTGTCAGAAAGACTGTTCCACTGTGGATGCTGAGTGAGACAAGGGCTACCTGCTCCCAAGTATCCACAGCCTGGCTACAGCCAGTTCTGCCTACGACTTTTTTGTCATGCGCTGTATAGTTGTGGCTGGATGATGCTGTTGGCTTGAAATGAATGTGAATTTGGGTAAAACTATTAAGTTAATATTCCCTGGGAACTGAGCAGTTAAATAAAGATCATGTTTGAAACACAGTCTGTAGACATGAATTCAGGAGGAGCAAGAGAAAAATGAGATGTGTCTATTGGCCACCATAGATCACGATGATGTGTCTCTTGTCACCCTATACCAACACAAGGCCCATGCAGTACTCCATATTTGAGTTCCTGAACTGTCTTTGAGGGGTCTTCACAAAGAGATTGTTTTCCTTTCTTTTTGGTGTTGAAGATTGAACCTGGCAGGGCCACAGCAAGCTCTCTGTCACGAAGCCACATTCCAAGCCATTTTTTTTTTTTTTCCCTTTTTGGTGAAAGATTTTCATGTGACGTAGGCTGGCTTAAACTCAGCAAAGAGTGACCTTAAACTTCTGGCCTCCTGTTTCCACTTCCCAAATGCTGGGCTTATCATTGTATACCACCATGCCTGGTTTGTGTGATGCTGAGGATCCAACCTGGGGCTTTTGCATATTAGGTAAGTACTCTATCAACTGAACTGCAAATCTGGCCTTCAATATCTGTTAACAGTATGTGATGAACTCACTTTTGATCTCAGGCCTTTAAAGAGCCAGTGAGCAATCATTGTATCAGAACCAGTGACAATTCCATGTCAAGATCCAATGTGGATAGGTAAAAAGTGACAATTACAATGGATGAAATGGCTTGAGGTATGATGGGCTGTCCAGAGATGAATGCAGAGTTTATAGATCTCCCCTTTGTCACTCACCTTAAGGAGAGCTCTTTCAAATTGTCAAGGCTAAGAAAATAACTTCCTTCCCTTGTTCAGCTGCTATTTTTTTTTTTTTTTTTTTTTTGCAGCTCAAGTAAGAGCCACTGATCAGCTCAGGTCCAGGGTGTGGTATACATTTTAATAATGGAATTCACAGGGCTTAGTATATATCAAAACCCTGCATATTCTTAATCAAATGTGATCAAGAAAATGTTAAATTGGACTTAACACATTAAGTTCATGCCATGGAGAAGTTTTAAGTCAGTGTCTTGGGGGATGCAGGTGTTTACAAATTTGAAGGAACTTTAAAGGGGGAAGGCCTATTTGCACAATTGCTAATGGGATGATAAGTACAGTCAAGATCAAAACATAACATTTGGTCAAGTCAGTTACCTGTAATAAAATGTCAAAAGTATTTAGGGACTGCTTAAACTCCCAGGCATGTGACAGTCACCCTGCAAAGTAAATGATGGCTAAACTAATCACTGTAACACACCTGGACTCAGAAACATTTCGTGGTGGCTCCCATGCCAGGTGTATGGATAAGGCTTTATAGAAATTCACCTTGAAGTGGGGTTGTTTTCTGGACAGAAGCAGATGCATAATTTGCAATGTTCAGGGCAAAATTAAAATGCAGTTCCCTTGTTAAAAACAAAATAAAACAAAACAAAAAAGAAACGAGTAGGCCTTTCAAGATGACAACTACAGAAGATTAAACTCACTGTGAAGCCTTCCTAACTTGTGACACCATGCACTTCTAGAGTTCCTGCTTCTAGATGCAGGGAATGATATGTCTAGCTACAGGAGAGGTGAACTATCAGTGCAAAGGAAACTGTAGAAGTGTGAGTTACTACATGTGACAGTAACAAAAACGAAGGTGTATAAGGATACTTTGGTGATGAAGTTCTAAATATCTGATTGTACACATAACCAATCCCCTTTGGTGGCTATAGCAAGTTACTGGCAATGCTCTTTCAGTCATTGGTGGGGCTTGAGAACACTGAAGATTAACCATGAGAAAGACTGACAGGCCAAATACTGTTCTGTGATCATTTTTCACAAGAATAGCTCAGAAGTCTCACATCAGATGAAGAACAAGGATGCTGGGAAGTTTTGCTAATATTTCTTTCTATC